CCCCCCTCACCCCCACCCCTGCAGGCACCTCCTCGCTGGCCATCGAACTGCCGCAGTGCGAGAGCGAGCGCTTGGACGAGATTTCGGAACTGATGGCCACGTGTTTGCCGTATCCAATCAAACGCGAGAAACTCGCCATCGCTTTGGAGACCGAGAACTACATCAAGAAGTTGTTGCAATTGTTCCGCGCGCTCGAAGACCGGAAGGACGTGCGCGCGCTCCACAAGCTCTACGAGATCTTTAAGAACATATTCCTCCTCAACAAGAACCCACTCTTCGAAGTGATGCTTTCGGACGACGCGCTCTTCGACATCATCGGCGTCTTCGAGTACGACCCACAGCTCGCGCACCCGAAGCGTCATCGCGAGTACCTGAAGAGCGTCTCGCGCTTCAAGGAAGTGATTCCTCTGGGAAACCCGGAACTGGTCGCCAAAATCCATCAGACCTATCGCGTGCAATACATCCAGGAGGTGGTGCTGCCCACGCCCTCCGTCTTCGAGGAGAACATGTTGTCGACGCTCTCGTCCTTCATTTTCTTCAACAAAGTCGAGATCGTGTCTCTCATCCAAGAGGACGAGAAGTTCTTACGCCAACTCTTCGCCCAATTGGCCGACGAGGCGACCGAAGCGGACAAACGGCGCGATCTCGTGCTCTTCCTCAAGGAGTTCTGCACTTTCTCGCAGACTCTTCAGCCGCAGAACCGCGAGAACTTCTTCAAGGCTTTGGCCTCTCTCGGCATTCTTCCCACTCTGGAGGTCATCCTCGCGATGGACGACTTGACCATCAAATTGGCTTCCGTTGATATACTTACTTATGTCGTCGAATACTCGCCTTCAATGGTCAGGGAGTATGCGCTGCAACAGGAGTCCTCTCAGGACGAGGTCAGTGACCCGCGTCTCGAACCCCACTCACAGGTCACTTACCCCTGCCTTCCATTTCAGGAGCAGTTCGTTGTGAACATCATAATCGAGCAAATGATTTGCGACTCCGACCCCGACCTCGGAATGGCCACTCAGTTGTCCGGAATCGTCAAACTCCTCGTCGACCCCGAGAACATGTTGGCCGCCACTGTCGTCAACGTGAGTCCATTTCCCAACCGGCCGACCGCTCACTCTCTCTCTCCGCAGAAGTCGGAAAAGACGGATTTCCTCAACTACTTCTACAAGCACTGCATGCATGTGCTCATCGCCCCTGTGCTCGCCTCCACGTGCGACGACAAGGTGGTGGCGCG